TCAATGCCCTATTGATACTGTTGTAAGCGGCACTCGTAAGTTTTCCAATATCGTGCGCGTGTCGAGCGCACGCAAACAAATTGCATGTGTCGCAGCGCGCCCGAATTCCACGGCCGATGACACCATTTCAATATTTCAATTTTTGTATAACGGTATTAGTTTTTCGAACAATTTTCAATACGGAGATGTATTAACATTTAAAACCGCCATAAACTGCTTAACACAGTCATGGTGTGATGCCGGCAGTATTATAGCTGTTAAAATATATCATAATATAATATCTAATTTTTTTTTATATCATAAGGTGGCAAACGAGCGAGCGGCCACCCGAAATCGCTAAAATAGCGAAGTGACCGTTGCCCATAGACATACGCAATTGCATATGCGTTGGCTACCTTTAATCGACGGAGGAGAGGATGCACAGAAAGAAAATATTTTCCCTTTCCATGCATCCTCTCATCCGGAAAGTCCACTTCCACTTCCCATCCTTTCCTTATAAAAAAAGGGAGGGAAGGGAAAGAGGACTAAATAAGGCCTCCTGGGCGCACACTCATCAAAGGTAACGCGGAATTGCTTCCATTTCACGCCTGTCTTCTGTATGGTCGTGGTATTTCACCGGGCGAGCCGGGCCAATTCGTGCGAAGATGTTAAAGCGGGTTGTACCACTTAAACTCATTAATTATCTATTACAAAAGATGTCTATAATGTTCATAAACATTCCTGTAATATCGACGCAGACGTAAACTTAACTCGCTATAAGTTTTTTCTGTAAAACGCTCGCCAATTATTATTAGATTTGCCTCCCTCTTGTCGAGGTACCAGGGGACAGTATCAACAAAAACTCTCCGTAGTTTTATCCTTATTACGAATTAAAAACGGCAGATCGTGGGGGGATTTAGCCGTAACAAGATAAAGTCATTTCGTTAGGCTCGATACCGCTGATAATATATTCCTCCAGCCGCTCCCTGCGTCCCCTACTGTTTGTTCTCGCTTGTTTACTGCACATGCCACATTTTATAGGGCCCAGTAATCCCACGGCATCCTTAAGATCCCTTTACAAGATTTTCTGCCGTCACAACACAAAAAACACATAGCTATTGATACCTCTGTGAATGCTATTGCCAAGCTTTTAAGACAAAGTTGTTTTAACTTGAAAAACTTAGTGGACTAAAAGAAAATAACAACTTTGACTCACTACTTTAAATAAAATTGCAATGATGTTTAGATAGCCAATGAAATTCGCAACCAATCACGAAAGTGTTTATTATTTTTAATGAGTGTTTATTTAAGTATTTTCAATGTACATTTTAAATCGAAATTAACGGTAAACAAAATGAATTTATTAATTGCCCGATATCGCAAAAACAGTCACAGAATTTTAACCTATAATGTTGTTTTATATGTAAATCTTAATTTAAAGCGGCGCCATATTTGATATTTTCATTTCGTTCTGATCATTGGACGCATACCCGTCATGTTTATTGATGAGTGAGGCTGATTGGCACCTGTGTCGTTTTGATATATCAAAATAATTCATTTGTGCAAATAAAACGGCAATATTTCAATTTAGAGAAATATAAATACAACGCCCGCCAACTTTAATTACGAATGTTAACAAAAAAATAATTGTGAATCAGATCATCAATCAGTTGCTAACTGGAATAAAAGAAAAAACATTTACTGAATGTCCGAACAATAGATGGCGCTGACGAATGATCTAACAAAAGATGGCCGCCACCTTTTGGTGTGAATCGTTGGACCGCGTAATTGACAAAAGATACATTTTTGTTTATTACATTACCCGGTGTTGTCCACAATATTATTAAAAAAAAATGGAAACTCTTCTTAGTTGTTTGGTCCAACGGAATTTTTAAAAACTCTACCTCGACATGTGGATATTTTTTTTTAAAACAAATGCTATTTTTATCTTTACTGCTTTTTTAAAAAAAATAAAAATATTTTTACATGTTATGGTAAAATGGATAGGATCAGTTCGTTAACGCTACAAAACGGTTTAAGTATAAAATATAGATAAGGATCTTGAGGCTCACAAATAGGCTCCCTCAATATCTTCGCAAATTGTTAGCATTACAGCGGCTTATATCACATCATCTAATTTTTAAGGAAAATTGTGAACAAGAAAGATTTACAACGTTTAACATAATTTAAGCATAAAGTTTATCAAATTTTAGTACCGATTATTGTAATAGAACTGCAGAATTTATTCATTTGTTATGCTGCTTGTAAACGTTGCTATAGACATATCTATTTGCAGATTCATTGCCTACCTTTAATCGATAGAGAAAGGGACGCATACAAAAGGTATATTTCCCCATCCTGTTCGTCTCCTCTCCTGCCAAATCCACCTCCCCTTTCAACTTATACAATGCAGTATATTTCAAACGAAATGACAGAATAAATGTAAAAACCATTTTGTTTTAGCCATCAATATAGAAATATTTGCCAATTGAACTGAAACAGCTTAGTAGCCCAAAAGGCATCTGTAAAATTTGAACGACATTTGGTTAGTCATGGCGGCTATTCAGTTTTATAATTGAGAAAGTTTACATCATAATTTTCTTTATGAAATTTTCATCTCAAACACCTTAATTAACGGGTGAGAAGACTTTCGCAATTACGTTATGAAGCAGGTATGCTTCGAGAAAACTTAATGAATTGTAGCAACTTGCCTTACAGTGTGCTCTGTCGGAACGAAACGTTTCTATACGAGTTTTACATTTTACATTTTCAACACGTACTCTTGTTAATTTCAGCTTATTTTGTTTCAATAACTTAACATTAGAAACTATGACAATAGTTAATAGCTTTAAAGGAATAGATTAAACTAAATTGTAAGAATGAACAATGTCGTATATTGACGCATAAACGTCGGTCCATTTAAAATCAATATGGCATCACAGCACTTATTAAAAGTAGTTTTCTAATACCAAAATCTCTGTATAAACCATATTGTCATCCCTGTCATTATCTTAGACATAACAGAGATAACAATATTTTTGGTATCAGAATAACACGGTAAGTCTTTTTTCGTATACAGGTACATAACATTTGACTTAATACTAATTATTCTGTCACGAATACCTTAAGCATTGTTTATATGTTCAATGCTTATAATAGTGGTCGTTCATTAAAGTTGATTTCTGTGTTCACTAGAGTAAAACGTACGTCGGTTCCGTGGGACAAGCTCCACCAACAGTCGTTCCAACAAACTTCACCTGGAATCTCCAGCGGAGTGGAGCGATTAAAACCACGAACAAACATTCCCCTAACAACGCGTCTACCCGCTTCATTTTAAAATGAACCGACCAACTTGCGCGCTTTTTATCCTTTTAAATAAAAGACCACTCACTTTACCAACACGAAAACAAATATGGTGCCTTTGGGCTTTGAATACAACCTTTTGTGTTGTATGAAAATTTTTATGCAACCGAAAAATAAAAAATAATTAAGTTTACAATTGTATGAAAAAACAGTCAAATACAAGAAAAATCAAGTTATGAGGTTTTCTTATTAAAACATTACTACAGTTAACATCCATATAATAGGTTGATTTAGAGAATTTTATATTATAAAATATAAAAAAAATTGCCAATTTCTAACATGAAATAATATTGAAAAAGATAATTACTATATTCGTTCTTAAATTTTATAGTAGGTAAATACGCTTATATGTACAGAAAAGACCCACCCTAACAGCAACCCTCCTTCCGTAAATAGAGAGACATTAACAACTAATGAGTATTCAATCTTCGCAATCCAGGCGCAAGTAATTCCCGTCACCATTGTAAAGTAATTGGCACTGCAGTTGCCAACCGTCTGCTTAGCAATTAAGCCACCGATAATTTTACATGGTTGTAACTATACTACATAGAAAATAGAGGCTTTTTCATACATTTTGAGAATAAGATCATAACAAAATTTATAAGCAATCCAATATTGACATATTTAAAGATTCAAGTATTTTTTTTATATCATAAGGTGCGGGCAAACGAGCTAGCGGCCACCTGAAATCGCTGAAATAGCGAAGTGACCGTTGCCCATAGACATACGTAATTGCATATGCGTTGCCTACCTTTAATCGACGGACGAGAGGATGCACAGAGAGAAAATATTTTCCCTTCCCATGAAATCCTCTCATGATCCTCTCCTGATTCAAATGTATCTCACGGGTACCGTACACATTTCCGTGATCATAGTTAGCCTATGTGTTCCTTCTGATTATGTTCTACATATATACTAAAACAAACATCCATCCAAACTTTCGCATTTAAAAATATTAATAAGCTTAGTAGGATAGCAAGAATGTTTAATGAGAATTTTAAGCATACAAAGATGTTAAAGGTATTTTAAAATTAAGTCCATCGTGTTGATAACCGTAGAGCAGGTAAAGAGTGGAATCAGGGCGCATAACTGAAGTGCTTGAGCCTCGTGAACGTTTAGCTTCGTCATTTCAGGTGCGCGAGGCATCGGAATTAAATTCTTTGCTCATGTCGATCAATCTTCAATACCGCATAGAACAACATTTTTATATTAGAGCTACATACGCTTTGAACTGACCTGTATTTTTAGTAGATGGATACTTTTTTAATAACTTACCTTGTTGTTTTTATAGCATTATATTCAGTCCTATCAGTTCACATAGCCGCCAACGCAACTGCCCAAAATCTTTATTATTATGTAAAAAAACATACGGAGGAATTGACAACCTCCTTCTTTTTGAAGTCGGTTCCAAATGTATTACATTTAATTTTATATAATGTAGTACATGAACTCTGAATACTTAGCATGGCGGTCATTATAAATTTGAAAATGATTAATATATTTAATTATTTAATTAAATCTTTGCATCCTGCATTCTGGTGCGAAACTGGGTGGTGAGGAATCGGGGGGTACTTTTACTATCAGAGGCCAAGGCCTACTTGGAAACGCTGTGTCATGCTAGTTAGTTATTTTATTAAATACGATAATATTTGTTACAGAAACGTGGTGTATAACCTAAGCCTGACCGACCTGACGGAGCAGCGCCGCCTCGTGTGGTACTCTCCGCCCAACGACGTGCAGATGTGCGTCGTCAAAGGAAAAGATGAGGTACGTCAATGACTGCATGCTATTTGTATAAGCCATGTATAATTTCCACTAGCGCGCCGGCAACGTCTAATTAAATAGAAGTCATACGTGACTTGTTTAGTGGAAAAGGACTCTAAAAGCTTTGTGCAAACTCACTTTAAAGTTGATTCTTATTCAAGAGATACACATTATACATTGGATCACAACTTTATCGCTAAGCTTCTAAAAAAATCTTCAGTTTGTATTATTTTACGTGATTTCCGATTTGTAGGTTAGTAAAATAACACAGGCTTCTAAATTATGATATAATCGTAAATAATAAAGGGTGTAGCCGCTTCAAGACGACTCAGATAATTTTGGTTTTAGTTTTATGGCCGTTCTACAAAAACTTTATTGGATCATAACCGTTACGATGCTTTATATTGGATTGGAAGCCTTTATGTGTCAACAACGGTGTATAGACTCAGAGACTGGAGCGTGTATCATACTCAGTATCGCTTAGTGGCCTCTTTTGTTCATTGAGGATCAAGGACCAAAAGTCAAATACTGGCAGTTGGTATACAGTAAACTTTTATGATACCTGAAAACTTATTACTTATATTTTAAATGCGAATATTTAAATATGATATTTATTATAAAGTGTCTCTAGAAAGGCTGCGTGGATCTTGCTGAAATTTGGCATACATGTAGAATATAGTCTGGAAGAACATATAGGCTACTAATTAATTTTTTTTAATACTGCGCGGACGGAGTCGCGGGCAGCTAGTCTTTTCATAAATTATTATAAGTTATCACATTTTATTTATCCCTTTTCTAATTTCTCCAAATATTTCCGTATATAAAATTACAAGAGCGTGCGATACGCTATACGGAATACTTCTCGAATTAACTCCGATAATGATTCCCAGAAATAGAGCGGGAAAGTCATACGGGAATATTGCTGGCGCTTAATATCACCTAACGCCATCTCGCGTCGGTTAATTGAATTCAGAGCTAGCGGCTCGCTGTATGAATCTGGCTTTTGCAAGCAAAACCACTTTTTGTGATATACAATTGAATTAAAACACTTTAACTAAGTTACGATAATTGAAGAGTGATTATAACATTGCGTTAAAAACAATTAACAACACTTCAATATTTAACATCCACTAACGAGTTTAATATGTTCAAAATGTTTAATTCATACTGAAAAGAAATATAAGATAAGTAATCGATATGTATACCGGTTTTATTAAAAGTCATAATACCCTTATATAGGTAAATAATGACCATATTAACCCCGAGACATCTTCGTAATTAAAGCATAAAGTAAAAAAGGCTTTGGCAAAAAGCTAGTATATTTTCATTGCAAAACATATTACTTTTTGCAAAAGCGTTGAAAGTCCGCAGTCCTTTGTGCAAACCATCGCTTGTGTCGGCTGATTGCTGTGCGCTTCAGGACCTCATGGGACCTCATGCTTCAGTTGCAGAAGTTCGGACTTCAATAGGGTGACAATGTTGATAGAAAAATATTCAGGATTTGAGTTCCATTTTAATAGTAAGGTTGCTATATATGTTATTACAGATAAAATAGAACAATCAGTAGCTAGAACAGATACACATAAACGCAATGAAGTAAATTAACTATATTATAGAGTATATTTCTTTATATGAAAATATTTTATTTTGAGATATTGTGGTGGTCCTACATCGTTTCACAAGATGTGTCGTCTACAATAGACATCCAAACTGATTTTCTACGTTTATTGTGTTGCAAATTGTTTTAAATGTTTCATAGGATACTAAACGTTAAAATTTTACGCAAATTATTCTTCTTATCGCATTTAACGAAGCCAAAATAATTTACTCCCTATCTCCATTTTAAATTCGGTAAATGATAAGTAGTTGAAAATAGAATTCCAATCGAAATTCGGTAAAGTAGCCGTCCATGTTCGATAGTTGTACCCCAATTGTCGAATATAGCAGAGAGGCGAATGGGGAACATTGGGCACGGTAAATGGCATAATAGGGAGGAATCGGGAGAGATACCTTCTATGGGCTCGGGTAACAACCGCAGCTGACGGCGTTCGAGTGCGAACATCGCTCCACTATCGACGTTCTCAATCGAATATCTGCCGAAGGCTGTGCATGTTAATGCTATATCAGAATATTACCGCAGCTACGACGAAATCATTTCTTCGACATTTATATGCAGGAAAATATAAAAAGTGTTTCTCTGTCTGGACGAGGCAAGAGTCTATATATGTTTTAATGTTTTAAGCGTTTCTTATTAATTTTTAAATTTAAAAAATACTCCTACTTCTTATGTGGTTAAATAAGATAGAGTTGGAACTGTAAATTTATATAAATACTTGTATCATTTACTTCAAAATAATCCGATAAAGTGCAATGATATGCTACTTCAGTCAATAACTCCTTAAGCTAGGATAGACTGAATGGCCATTGTTCTGAGCCCACGCGTACATCGCCCTGTCATAATCTCCATTATCATTTAATATAGTGCGGGCGTCTTCATTGTTGAGGATTAATGCCATAAAGGTGTTAGACTTGACGCGATAATCCTTACAAAGCCTGTTACATTAGTTATGTTGTGAATTAGACAATCTTCTTGTATCTGACACGACGATTTCCCTGTTTACAAACAAATACATATTACTCTTACACTCTTTAGTGTATTACTAGCTGTCGCCCGCGACTCCGTCCGCGTGAAATTAAAAACACATTTAATGAATAGCCTTTGTGTTCTTGCCGACTATGTTTTACATCTGTGCCAAATTACATTTAAATCCGTGGAGCGGTTCTGGAGACATCTTCAAACAAACATCCATCCATCCATCTAAACACTAGCATTCATAATGTTAGTAAAATTTCAGTTGAAATTGCTTAAAACGAACGGTTATAGTAACCGACATAGATCTCAACTGAATGCAACATAACTAACTGCCTTATTGTTGAATATTGTCGTCCTTTTCGCCATCATTATGACTGTACTAATCATGATTTGTGTGTTGAATTTAATACACATCACACATTTACATTGGTTCCTGTATTACTGCTTAAGAAATTGGGATGCAATCGAATCAACATCAAACCATCGAACATGAAGGCATTGAACGCCTCATCCGCTTCTATTGAACGCCATTCGCAAGTAAAACGTAACGGGAATGCATAAATCCAATCAGCCTTTACGGAGCCCACTGTACTCAAACAGGATTACGGCTCGGACATCTGGAGCGTTCTGGAGAAGCGGATGCAAATGTAATCATAGGTATGGTAGGAGTGGACCTGCGTTTACTATCCCGCTTTTGTTTACTAATACTATGTCCGGTTGTAAAGATCTATCTAAGGTGTTCCACAACCAACGGCATTGCCGTAACACTTATGTTAAAAACTATTGTTGTCGCTACTTTTTCAAAGAGAAAGAAAGAGATGACTGAGGATTTCGACATTTGGAAGACGTTGTATAATCAATGATATTCTCAAGTTAAATATTGCAACTAGTAAAAATTTATTTATGTACGTCTAAAACGTCTAATTTATTAAATTCTATATCTGAGTTGTCTTCAAACAAATTTACAACAAAAAGCCGAAAGTTGTAAATATTTAGGCACGCCAATGGAATGTTCCAGTAATGTTTATTTGGCTGTAAAATTCGGACGAAATATATATCAATTTGTCCCGAACATCTTTGCTGTAACTTTTCGTCTAGGAGCTCGAGTTCTCGTAAAAACCAGACTAAATTGCAAGTGACATGAGCGGCTGAAAACAAAATGCTTTCGATGTTTTTCTCGTCTAGTGTTTGTGGTTTACTTTATCTTTTTTACAGTTTCGACTACAAACCTTTTAGAAACTTACTACTTTGTTGATGTGTCACCGTGGGTTTCCGAGAACAAAATCTGTGTATAAAATATGATATATTATAGTCTTATATATTATATTCATCCGTGTCATTATCTTTGACAACACGGGGATAACAATATGTTTTAGACGTAGATTTTGTCACTAACAGGTCTCAAAGCTGATATCTTTATCTATTTTTCTGTTACGTGTTAAAAATTGTTCTTCAACAGCAATTAGGTTCATTTTCTGATTTCAATACAAGCTGTATTTACTGAAGATGTTCATCAGATTTTATATATGTACCTATTCTATAACATTTATAGTCTTTGTTGCTAAAGGAAATTTTCTAAGAAAAACAATAACCGAACAAAGTTTCGATCGTATGACCCTTACGGGTAAAGTTATTCCAATTCCTTCATAACTGCTGTTATTATAACCTTACTTTATACTTTATATAAGTTTTCAAAGCTAGATAAGTTTTAAAGAGTTGTTTTAAAGTTTTTAATTATAATTGTCTATTTTTCCGATTACATTTTTGTTAAATTGGAAAGGTACAGATATTTTATTATAAGTACACAATTGAAGTGGAACTTATCCAAGCGAAATCCAGTCTAAACTATTTAATCACAAGATTCATTTTTCCTCAGGAGAGCTGTCAGAACTACATCCGCGTGCTAGTCTCGCTTGGTCCGGGACGGTTGCTGGTTTGCGGCACCAACAGCTTCAAGCCGTTCTGCAGGGAGTACAGTGTGCAACGCGACTCCTACCACATGGAGAGAGAGAAGTCCGGCCAAGCAGTCTGTCCCTATGACCCGGACCATAACTCCACCGCAGTCTATGCTGGTAAGAGAATTACTACTTAAGTATTGCGAATATTTATATCTACATTTAGAGTCATACGAACATTAAGGAAGACCATTATTATAGATTTTTCTACAGTTAGGGAGATCAGTGCGGCGGTATGAAAGACAATATGAATAGATTTAGTATTAATTCTCGACTAAAAGGCGGCTTAATTAATGTTTAAACAACTGCGCTCCGAATGTGGAATTGTCTTTTATTCCAATTATTAGTTATTAGAATTTATCTTACCCTGGGCTTATACTGCACAAATACTGTTTAGATAAAGATTTAACTAAATTATATCTCTCTGACTCACTTGCATCCCACAAGGCGTTGGGATCAGCTTTCTCTATCAGTCTCTTCCACTTCGCTCGACACCTTCGTCTAAGACTTGGCACTCACTCATGTCTTTTACCACGACATTTTTCCATCTAGTGTTGGGTACGCCTCTTGATCTGCGACTAGAAAGGGATTTTTTTAACTAATTAGGTATTCATATAGAGGATAGTCTGGTAGAACACAAAGGCTACTTACTAATTACGTTTCTCTTTAATACCGGGCGGACGCAGTTGCGGGCGGCAGCTAGTCTATTTAATAAACCTTTAATCATTAATTATAATACATATTTGCAGTCAATATCTTTGATTGTGTACTGATTTAACCGTGACTTACATGTTATGTGTACGTAAACCTAATAGTGGTATGGAGCGAAGTAGATTTGCATTGATTTAGCCACTAATGCAATTCGAGCTTAGATACACTGCCTCTATTCCACACCAATAGACCAATAGACAGAGGCCACTTAATGTATATTAGTATACAATAACTTCTGGAAAAAAAAATTGCCGATACTAAAAAACATAATTTTAAACACTTTAATATACTTTTGAATGTATTTTTAACTCTCTTGTAAGATGATTTTAATATCTTAAATTATTATTATCAAGTATTCAATGACGTCATCATCGTATGTGTCATTGTTTGTCGTTTCGTCATTTGTAGAGAAATATTGGCCATCCTTTTCATTCTCGTTTAAAAAGAAAGAGGTGACATTATTTTTCATACTTCGTTATTATAAATTGTGTTATTTTGATTTATTCGATCTTAAATCGATATTAATGTACTTTGATTAAAAACTACGTCATCTTGTCGTGATGCAAGTATCCCATTGAGTAGCACTTCATACTAGACGTGTGGGGGTGGTGTTTAGTCTGCCGCTGGTGGCTCCCTCTAGCACCACTCAATGCTTGGAAACTACGATAAGTTGTCTGCGCTCTATCACTAAATCGTACGCTTTTTTACTTTGTTACAACGGACTGATATTTGGGCTTGATAATTTCATTAAAATAAATACATTATGTTCTCATTCAAAGTCCAATTTTATCTTATTGAAAAACTAGCTGGCGCCCGCGACTCCGTCCGCGTGGATATATTATATAAAAAAACTTAATTAGTGTCAGACTCAGACTATGTTCTATACGTATGCCAAATTTAATCGAGATCCGTTCAGCCGTTCTAGAGATATCTTCAAACACCCATCCATCCATCCACATCGCATCCATCTAAACACTCGCATTCATGATATTAGTAAGTTAAATAAAAAGCATCTCGTCAAGGCCTAAATTCGAAAAAAAAATGAATAAATAGTACCCTATGCCCGTCTTCTGGCTCTCAACCTCCTCAACCTCACCAATTTTCATGATCTATTAAACTCGGTTTTAAACATGCTTACTTAAGAAAATTTTAATGCATTATAGACAATATGACCAAATAAACTTATGACATTTCTTAATAATAAATCCAAAGAAAAACATTTCATACAAATAGAAGTATATTAACTGGTTTCTTCTGAAAGTATTCCACGGAATCACATGTGCGAACCCAAATCTTACCAACTCAATCCATTGTTAGGAAATTAGGGAAAAGAGAAAATCTTTTTTCATATCAATTGGACCCACTTTCACAGTCTAGTGGCGCACAATGGCCACTCATTGTTGCGTTGAAAAGAACCTTCGTTGAATGGAAATGCGAGTACGTTTTTCAACGTGACTACTATACATGTTAAAGTTGGTATCGCTACGTGCCAAGACAATAGCTAAAATTGGCTCCCTCCTTGTTCAATACACGCTTCAGACGCCGAGACACTGCCTGGTTAACATCCGATATGGTTGAGGACAAAAGATTATACCTTTACAGGTATTGTTTAAAATATTTTTCCTTATATTTTTACTCTTAAACGTAACTCTTTCTTTGTATTTTGATGAATCTATTGTATTACGAAAATTCAATATATATTAAAATTCCAGGAATATCCGTATACCAAAGTTAGTATATGAATTCTATTTGAATTCTTATAAAGGAATAATGCCGTACCTTTTTTTTCTGTAAACATTTCTCAAACAAGGAACCCCTCAATGTAAAGTTTCAACAAAAGCTCAGTGAACCATACTGGACTACATAATTCGTTTCAACCGCGACATAAATGTGCTTTCTCCAGCCCAGAGCTCTTCATCGGGGACGCCGAAGCAAACAAGTTGGATAGAAAAAAGATTGTCCCAAACAAACAAACATAATTTACTTTCTTTCTTACCTTTGTGGGAACGAAGGCATTTTTGTAAGTCTTTTGAAATCTGGGAATGTACACACTTGGTTATTCTACAAATTAATATATTTTGATGTTTACCTTATGTATTGTGTTAGAAAACTGCATTAATTCGAAGTTAGTCTTTATTGGCTTTGTTTTTAGAACTATATTTGTTTGTTCAATATGTTGTTGATTGTTTATCGCCACCCCAAACACTTGGCGATGCAACGACAGGACACATCATCAATTACCGTCACGCTGTCCCTTTGTGCAATTTTCTTTACGTTAACGCATCCCCTTACAAATTTATATTCATTTATCACAACGATACGAACCCGAAATTGACACTTGCTTCAATATTATTATTTGTTTAACGTTTTTATTTTTTCTTTTATTATCGTGTCCTTGAGGTCATATAAAAAATAGGTGCCTAGTAATGTCTTCCTATCCGGTTGATATAAATAAAAAAGGAATAAATTGGCATTCTTAAAACAAAATAATATTCTTTATAAATAATGAAACAACCAGTTTTATGTATAAAAAGTTGTTTTACCATTTTTATCCAGAACCAAATAAATTTCAGCTTCGACAATCTAGAATCACTTTTACTTTAACGGTACTGAGGAAACTTCTCAATCGCTAATTAATACGAACCAAGAATTTTTAAACCCTTAAACTTTAGCGGCTGTAGAGAACTTTTTTATTTTCCATTTATTTGAAAATTAAAAGTTTTCACGCGGAAACCAAAAAATTCAAAAGAAATAATTCTTTCTTATTATATCCAGTCTTAGATTAATTCTACTTAAATGGTAATATTTTGTTAAATTGTCATTCATAAATAATATAGTGTCCACTGAGTTACACCCACTATGTTCACAGTATGCACTATCCATTTGTTATGTTTACAAGTTCAAATATCAATCTTAGTACCACGCCATAAGGTGCACAGTTAAGTTCAATGCGTTCATCGTCCGTAGTCCATTACAGCAGCCACGCTTAGTTATCTTCTATTGATCTGGTCCAATTAAGTAAAGCGACGCCCGCGGGACTCGTGTAGCAGACACGAGACCGCTGACCATCTGCAATGTCTCATTTACAGGATTAACGTAATTTTATGTCACCATACTATGTCATGTAACATTAGAACTACATTGTAGTGACATTTTTATTAATATAATAGGTAATGGTCACACGCGATTCCGTCCGCGCGGAATAAAATAAAACTTAATTAGTAGCCTATGTCTTCTACCAGATTACGTTCTACATATATACTAAAGTTCAGCGAGATATATGCAGCCATTCTGAAAATGCCTTGTAACAAACACCTATACATCCAATTATTCGAATTTATGTAGATAGATAGTATATAGATGGTGTGTTCGGAACACAAGAGTTAGTCAAGTTAGTAGGCCTTCGGAGATCTTTTTTGTGGTAAATTTCCCACAATTTTGTTATTTACATTAGAATATTAATTTACATAAAAAATTTAATCGAATACGACTGGTTTCTGGTAGAGTTTAATAATATAAACTTCGCAGTTATCCATAAATCGCTTGTATTGTTTATCAAATTCACACACAAAAACTATACTTTCTAGCGCAATTTCGGGATACATTTTACATATTTAATTTGAAAAGAAAACCCTTTATTGTGAGCACATTTATAATTTAAAACAATTTTGTTCATCTCGTTTCATTAATTTTGAATATAAAAAAAAAAAGTTCAATTGAAAGGAAAAATCGTTTTGAAATTGTATTGAAATATAAGCAAAAAAGTTCAATACTGAGGTCTAAAAGTTAGGCTTCTGAAGGCTTTGTTTTCGTTCTTCAAACTTAGGAGTTCGAAGTTAAAGTTTATTTAACATTCAGTCTTAACCACGGCAAACTTTTATTCTTTTAAAACATAATTTTGTATTAAATAAATTATTAACTAATTTTTCAAAACAACTGAATACACTGCGATAAAGAAAAATCTTACTAATATTATAAACTAACAACGCCCGCGACCCCGTCCGCTAGGAATTTAAAAAAAAAACTTAATAAGTACCCTATGTGTTCTTCCAGACTATGTTCTGCGTCTATGCCAAATTTCATCACAATCTGTTCAGACATTCGGGAGATACCTTCAAACGTCCATTCCATTCCCAAATGTTTAGATGTATGAACGGATGTGTATTAGAAGGTATCTCCCGAACGACTCAACGGATCTGGATGAAATTAAACAAGGATGTAGAACATAGTCTGGAAGAACACATTAACTACTAATTGACTTTACTTTAATTCCGTGCAGACGGAGTAGTCATCGAATAAGATTATAACTTACATTAAAATCGAGACGCATTGTATAATTATATTTTAATTTATTTTCAGATGGTGAATTATATTCGGGTACAGTCGCTGACTTCAGTGGTATGGAGCCAATCATATACAGGGAACCTTTACAAACAGAACCATATGATTCAATGACGTTAAATGGTAAGTTAATTAATAAACAATAGCTAGTAATTAACCAATATCTTGCCACAATTTCTTACGAATACATAGAATTAGTATATACTTACTATAAACAAAAATAAACATAAATTTCCATATTTATTCTTTTTTCTTCATTATTTTGTTGGTATCTTTTTTATTTATGTTCATATATGTCATATTTATTTTTATCAAATTACCAGCCTAAAAAAAGATTTCAAGCAAGATTTGTGGACTAAATTTCATTTAAATCGGTTCAGTAATCTTTGCGTGAAAGAAGGTCAGACAGACAAACAGAGTAACAAACAGACAGAGTTACTTTCGCATTTATAATATTAATTAAGAAAGTAAGGATTTCCTTTGTACTATTAGCAATATTCGTTTGAATATTATTAATTCACAAACTAAATGCTAACGATTAAGTAATTGGTTCTAAAACAGCGGCGTGAACTTTAATAAATTAATTTCGTGTCGGTGACGAAAGTTAACACGCATGTAATGAACACGTTAAACGTTTAATGCTATATTTACATTTTACGAGTATATATACCATACTTCTAGACATGGAATTGAATGACTCTATCAAAGTATTTGTGTTCTAGCTGTCGCCCGCGCCTATGTCCGTGTGCAATTAAAAAAAACTTAATTAGATGCCTATGTGTTCTTACAGACTATGTTCTACATCTATGCCAAGTTTCACCGAGAATTAAACAGCAATTCCGGAGATACCTTCAAACAAACATCCTTCTATCCATACAAACATTTGCAATTATAATATTAGTAAGATGAATAGCACTGAATTATTTGCTTGATTTTGCAAATAACTGTCTCAGTCTATTTGTATTTATTCTCAAAATGACTTAGCGTGGGTTTCCAAGACTTAAATCTCTGTTTAAAACATATCATCTGTTATTTGCTAAAACAGTGATAATCATATGGGATTTCGGAGTTAGAAACCCACGGTTAGATTTACTTATAGACTTCTAGTCAAGTTTAATGCTTTTTGAAGTAATTATTAGGTAACTAGCATGTATATAATGTACGAAAGCTCTCGGTAAATTGAAAGCTCGAATATCAAACTGTAATTAGTACGTATAGCCCCCAAGCAGTAAACACTTAGTAACAGTTAATATAGAGATATATTCTTGTATATTAATTCGTATTAGATATATTTGGTGCCCGCATAGTCGGGTTTATTAAGGCTTTATATATTGAAATTCGGTTTTAGTATATCTGTGGAATGTTCGATGTTCCGGAAAGCAAATCGGTCTACCATTTACTTGTTACCGACAATCGGAATTCGATGCAGGATTCTACAATGAAATATTGACTTGCATTCACAGCAACCGCAATTCTCGTGTTTTACTTTGTTATGATTTAATTAAAATTCAAAATTTATGTTCCTTTAGCAGTATTGTTTTGTAATGCGTTTTTTGAATTAAGAATAATGTACGATGCTCTTTTATTTTGTTATTCGTATCTTTAAATTAACATATTTAATTGCTTTATTTGCTGTCCAATTTTTATTATAAATGTGAATGTTTCGATGAATGGATGGATGAATGTTTGTATAAAGGTATCTCCAGAACGGCTGAACGGATAGCGATGAAATTTGGCATAGATATAGAACATAGTCATAGAACTTAGTCTGGAAGAACACATAGGATAACAAATTATGTTTTTTTTTAATTCCCCACGAAAGGAGTATCAGGCGACAGCTAATAGTTCGTTAAAATTTAACTATGCTTATACGTAGCATTAATACAACATTTTTCAAAGGTGTAGTATAAATATGACGATTGACTGTTATTTAGAAAACACGACTTACTCGTGTACACAAATCTTCCGTCTGTGTACATTGTCAGGTCGATTGGTTTCGACTGCAACTGTCAAACAGACATCCGTCAAGTTAATTGAATTTGAGCCGGGTAAGGGGCGCTGCGTGCCGATGTAGTCACGCGACAGACATACGACGCGAATACACTAATACATCCAATTAGGATCGTATTTAAATTATACATGTAAATAATACTGCTATATATCAGTTTAGTATTATAAGATTCAAACTTAATAGCTGCTCATAATTTATTAAGAGACGATGTCTTTACAAACTTATATAAAAACGGCTAAAATACTCACGTATGTTCGTTCGGTAGCGGCACCGTCTAGTTTTACAGTTTAGTTTAGTCTTTACAGTTAGGTATTAGGTAAACCCTGCACCTATAAGAAAATGCGCGGCGATAATTAAAGTTATGCTATGCAAGATTCGTGCAAAATCGCGAGTCGCTACAAAGTTTGCATAGCACTCTATATGGAGCAAATATTTGTTGACTATGGCAACTTTATATAACCAAGAGTTAACATAACTTCCAATAGTTTTAATGTAACCAATCCGCTTGTCCGCAGCTCCCGACTTCGTGAACTCCTTGGTGCATGGTAACTTCGTGTATTTCTTCTTCCGGGAGACCGCCGTTGAATACATCAACTGTGGCAAGGTAAGTTGAAAATTCTCTTCTCTTAATTTTCTCTATTCGACAATTCTATTAAAAGTTCATAAGTATTATCCCACAACGTGATACACGACTTTAGTAACAGGCAGTAGCAAAAAATTGTAGCCCATTCGAACTTCCATAACCTTTCTATCGAAACGCGACCTTACCCGCTGCTGTCTGTTTATCAACTAAACATTTTTGCTTCATATTGTACATTAGTCGTAAAATCGTCAGTACTATTGACATCGTACCTTCCGTACTAATGACGTTTTTCAATATCTTGTCGTCCGTTATTAATTGAACCTCCGTACTATTAATAGCATGTTTCACTTAATTATTATAATTTAATATTACAGGCGGTATTCTCAAGAGTAGCTCGCGTGTGCCGCGACGACCGTGGTGGGCCACATCGCTTCAAGCAGCGATGGACATCATTCCTTAAGTCGCGGCTTAACTGCTCCGTTGCTGGCGACTTTCCGTTTTATTTTAATGAAATACGTGAGTATTTGGATTTTATTTATTAAAGATACCACGTGAAGGAGCGAGTTTTACTACTGAATTCAAAGTCGTTAATTAGTTACTTTATTTCTTAGTTATAGATATGATAATTCCACACTAAAGCAACGCTTAAGTAAGCCTTTAAAATTGTGAGTGCTACAGTAATATATGTGTAATATATGACAACCAGAATAAGCTAAAACGAAAAGATGCGTCAAGTGATGATTCGATTAAAAAAAGTCAGAACGGAAATGTCTAAACGTAGAATGATTTGGAACTCAAAACCTTTTATAAGTAAAGATTAACTTACGTTTTATATTTGCAGAGTCTACAACAGAGTTAATAGAGGGTGTGTACGGAGGACTGAACGCTCAGCTGATATACGGCACGTTCACAACGCCACCTAACAGCATCTCTGGTAGCGCGGTCTGCGCTTTCAGTATGCAAGACATCGCTGACACGTTTGAGGGAACATTCAAAGAACAAAGCGCGATCAACTCAAACTGGTTACCTGTTAATAGCGCTAAGGTAAACTTTATTCAATATCTGAATGTACTAGTCGGTAATCAACATTTTGTCAGTTTAGATAGACGTCTTAAAACATACAGATGTGTTTTAAATATAATATTTTCCATACCTATACTTGTAGTGTTCAAAAATTTGTTAATGAAGAATAAATCGGATGTAATGCCATAATTTTTATAAACCTTTTACTATTGGCTATCATTTTGATACAAGCCTTTAGTGTTTGTTTCAGTATACAGGATAACACAGTCTAGTTCGATTTTGTTTTTGACAAGAGGTTATAAATGAAATAGTCTCTTCATAGTTGCTTTATCTGTCAGGTTCCTGAACCTCGTCCGGGCACGTGCAACAACGACTCGCGGCAACTGCCGGACCAGACATTGAACTTCATCAAGACACACGCCCTCATGGACGAGTCCGTCCCCACGTTCTTTGGCGAGCCGATAGTCATTAGAACGAGTTTTCAGTAAGTCTTTTTACACTATTAATATCTTCTTATTGCACAATAAGTTGTTTATCCAGCTTTGAGATTAAAACCAAAATCAAATTAATGAGTTAACTTGAATACATAATTAAATGTTTTTTGATTTGTTTTCAGCTACAGATTTACGCAAATAGCTGTAGATCCTCAAGTGAAGACACCAGGGGGAAAGGCTTATGACGTGTTATTTATTGGCACAGGTAAATATTTAATAACAGCTAATCAACAAAAATAATCTTTAATAACAGCTTGCAGAACGTAGTAATTTAAAAGATAAACAAAAGTGACAGACTGTGGAGGAGATGCATTATAGTATAAACCTATAACCATAATATATTGTGTAGCGCAGATATATGACTGTAGAAGATGAGTGCTTCCAATAGTTAATTATCTGATACATTGAATGTATGTGATGTTCCAGACAATGGCAAAATAATAAAGGCAATAAACGCTGTATCGTACGACTCGAACAAGCGCGCAGTGCCAGTCGTGGTGGAGGAGCTGCAGGCGTTCGGTGCGGGGTCTCCGGTGCGCGCGCTGCGTGTCGCCCGCGCCGGCCGCGACGCCGCCCGCCTCATCGCAGTCTCCGACCGCGAGGTGCTCAGTCTGCGCCTGCATCGCTGCTCCAGCGACAAGATCAGCTCCTGCTCGTTAGTACCCACTCTACACTAAACTTACATATTCATCAGTGCACAATCACTTAGGACCTGAAAGCTACGAAAAATGACGACATATTAATGTTTACAATGTTCGTCTTTCGCAGAGAATGCGTGGCGCTGCAGGACCCGTACTGTGCGTGGGACAAGCAGGCTGGCCGCTGCCGCGCCTACTCGCACGGTGTCAGCCGCTGGCTTGATGACACCGCCTTCTACCAGAGCGTCAGCACCGGCAGCCACGCCGCCTGCCCACACAGTACGTATACACTACACTAATTATTAAAAAAAAATAGCGTGATAATCGGTAAAAGCCCTCCAATTCAACTTAGTAGTCCTTATATTCATTAAAAATAGTGGCCATGTATATTTTTGACTTAAGCATATAGGAGATACAAAGACAGAACAAAATCCTAAAGCTAATATAATCGGTGTAGGTAAAGACGCGAGTGCAGTAGGCGGGCTGAGCTCGGGCCTGTACGATGACGCGCGCGGAGAGAGCAAGGGCGAGGTCATCAACATTGTGCAGGATAAGGACGGGAAAGGGAGCACCAACAATAACGAAGGTACACTTCATTGCTTTGTCAGATTTATTATCAGCAAAGGATATAAAAAGGTCCATTGGTTATACCGGGCGGTACAGTTTGTCAATAACCACTTGGTGATGTATTTGTCAGGTCCCGAGGTGCTGGCAGCAGATCCAGTGCCAGCTGCGTACTCTGTGGAGACGCTGGCGCTGGCGGTGGCGGCGGGCGCGCTGTGTGCGCTGGGCGCGGGCTTTGCCGCCGGCTACCTGTGCGGCCGCCGCTGCCGGAAGGATGAAGACGACAATATGCCCTACCCCGACACTGAGTACGAATATTTCGAGCAACGACAGAATATTAACAGGTCAGAACCAACGTACTCTCTTTCTCCCCCTGTCTCTATCTCTCTCTGACTATAGTTTGTATTCTATATATTCGCAGAGTCAGCTTCTTTGGTTAAGGTTTATTTTGAAATGAAATATCCACTGATGGTATTGTAAAAAGACTGTTGCACTTCGAGTAGCTAGAGGTGCTTTTTATTGCGGATTTAGTACATAAAATCTACTTTAAATCTATCCCTTGCCTACTAGGTTGATTTATAATTTCTTAGTGTGGCAGTAAATCTCTATCAATACAAATTCACAAACTTATAAATCCTTTATGAAAACGCTGAACCCTTTTTATAACAAAACATCCAATATTTTCCAGAATCCAAGCAGAACCGAAGCTTCTGCAGCAAGTGGAAGAGGTGACGTACGCGGAGCCGGTGCTGGCGCCGCAGCCGAAGCCGGCGTCACCGCGAGCCACCCTGCGCAAGCACGCGCCGTACCACGCGCCGCACACGCACCCCAACATGCACGCGCACCCGCACCACGAGACACTCTTCCAGTTCCAGCCCGACAACTACCGCCGCGACAACTTCGGCACTCTGCGCTCTCATCAGGTCAATGTCAGTTGCACTCCTCTCTCTTTCTATTTGCATGGCTTGTTACCTCGCCTTATCTTATGCAGGATTTCATATTATTACCGGCAGTAACATTTTATATGTTCACTTTTGGACATGTAATTGAACCATTGATGTTACAAGTGTCCTGGTCATATTGACAGATTCTTATAGTATCTATAAAATTTAATTTATTAGTATTGTCAAATATCTTGGGGACACAAGGTCATTGATGCGTTGGGCACCTCCCACCGTATCCCGCCACGCCCCGTTTACATAAGTTATGTTCTGCACAGCGCCTCGCGCGGAGTCAAGAGCAATCAAGATATTTGTGTAAAAAGATTTAAACATTTTAATATTATTTATGAAAAACAATTTCATTGTTTTGGCAAAAATGTATTCCTGTATTCTATGAATTGAATTCAAAATATTAACGATAAATGATTTTTAGCAAAGTTAATGTAATCTTTGGACTTTATGTCGTAATGGAAAATATTATTATTGCAATTCCTGTTTCTTGATATCATTTGTATGGTGTGTATTTTGTTTAGCTAGATAAAGCTTAAGCAACTATCCTATACATGTTTTTATACTGTAGTCGTAAGATTTCTGTGTGTTTTCGGCATGATATTATTCTTAGTATTTCAGGAAAGAAGCCAGTTTACAAGAAAAAAGTGTCATAGATTAAAAACGGTAAAAGTAGGAACACTAGTCGCATTTTCATTTCATTCATATTGCATGCATTTAATACAATAACATAGAACAATAAATTTTCTGTGCCGAAGCATTTGTACAATATTGCTGTCCTTATTTTTCGAAAGCGAATGAAATGAGCGGGATGTGTTTTTGTAGATTTACTTCGGCAGTAGAAAGTTATGGTAACCGTTGTCATTTTGTAATTAAGATTTTTATAACAAATCGTTCATTAATTCAACGTTAACGTTTACGAAAAATCATTAAATAATATTCATGCATGTTTCCATTTAACTCATAATTCATTATTCCATTTATCATTCCGAAAAGTATCGTGAGTTTTAAAACTTATTTAATAGGTACTTAAATAACTACAGTAGCAAAGATTAAAAAAAAGAAAAATAATTCGTTCTGTACGTTACGTGAACACACGATGCTTTTCGCGCCATTAACCCGCCATTTTGTATTTCATGTCACCCGACTGTCACTGATATTGACTGCGGCATGTCAGTTAACGCAGGAGTGTTCGGACCGCAGGGCGACGGCTACCGGCGCGGCAACGACAACGGCTTCTCGACCACGCGCTCAGTGAAGAAGGTGTACCTCTGAGAAACGAGCGGGGCGGACGCGCGCGACACCATGCACCAGCACAAGCATAATGCGCACCACCATCATACCTTGGGTAAGCGACATTTTATACTAACGCCTATACAGTACAAAAATTGATGAAACAAACGTTATAATCTTTACGCATTTATTGAGCCATCCATCCAACAACTATTATGATATTCTTTAATATGTGAAACTGTGTTTAAGCTAGTAGCTTCTAAGGCTGAGCAGAGCTAAAATTCTTTTGAGATTTAATAAATAATTGTTTTGTTCAACGTCTATATTTAAATGTGTATTGTTGTGTGTCAGTGTCGCAGCGCAGCAGCGGCTCGGGTTCGGGCTCGGGGTCCGGCAGCGGCGGCGGCTCTTCATCGTCGCCCTCGCCGCCCTCCTCCTCGCCCTCGCCCTCGGGGGAGCGGCCGCCCACGCCGCCGCCGCCCGCGCCGCAGCCCTGCGCCTACATCTACCGCAACTAGCGCGCCCGCCCCGCACCGCGCCCCCCAAACCCCGCCCCCCGCCGATTATAAACCTTCCAAATTTAAAAAAAGAGACTGCTATTTTCGGCCAACACGAAAGACATTCCATGTTGTTGATTCTGAACGATTTTATAAAAAAAGAAATTCAGTGTTTTTCTTTAAAAATCAAATTGAGATTCTCAGAGGTTCCGAAATAATTCGTACAAACTTTACCGTATTTGGATGTTTAACGCGTTACTTAGATTAACTCGGCCGAGAATAAATAACGTGATAATAAACGTGAGATAAAAATGTTACGATGTGGATTTATAATACGATGCCATTGTTAAATGATAGTGTCTAAAACTTTCTTCCATGATTATATAAAAGTATATACGTACGTGATTACAACAGATCTGAATAGATCACGATATGAAAGGTGTTGACAAAAATTATGTATTTTTTTTAAAAGACGGAACAATATTATCGATTGATGTATGTATGATGAATAATGTAACAAATTTGTAGATTGTTTAGATATACATAGTTTACTAATATTTTAGGTGAAAATATAAGTTTTGTTGGTAAAGTGTTGATGAATAGATTATGAGATGTTGTGAATATCATTGCAAATATGAGTTTTCATTCGATACATTTACGTCCGCAATGTTGGTCGACTTGAAACGAATCTGCAATGACGTCACAAATCGCTATTCACTTATCGTAGTATTACGTCATAATTCATGGTGAATGTTTACTGCGAACGGTGAAAGGATGTAACACGGCAACATTAAAGATAGTGACATTCGTCATTTTACACAAACTTTTATTTATTATCATTACACATTGTTACCTTTGTAATATAAAATTTTTCGCTTTCTTTAGTAGAATGTTTATATTCTTTAAAGTATTCAAACATAACCTCAAAGCTTGATATAATGTAAGTGCTTTCGAAACGCTTTATAGACTGCTATCATTAAAGTTGTTATGTTACATGAGGTACAATTGTATGTAACTTTAGGATTGAGGACATTGACATTATAAAACAAATAATATAAATTATATTTACCATGTATAAAATTATATGTAAAGTTCTGATACTTATTCATTCATTAAAGTGCTTCTTATGGGTGTATCTAGATTATTAGGAGGTCGTTTTGATAATTATTCAATAATGTTATAGAATTAGTCATTCTGTATACATAGTACATAGATTTAGTGCGTAAGGGGGCACGTGTTGCCGCATTGCCAATTTAGATTGTTGGTGCGCCATGTAAACTTACTGTGATCCAATGATCATGTATACATTATGTACATAACATTGTAACACAGCCGTTCCGATAGACGGTATTTTCTAAAAAAAAAATCAAAACAATCCATACAAGTGGGCCAAACGTTGAAAATCTCTTCTAAAATCGTTCCTGTTGCTATTATTATTGCGAAGGGAATATAAGTTGTTGTTAATAAAACGCTTCATCGATTAGACTGTACTGGTTACACTGTACACATTGTGTCCACAGTCGATATATAGTTGTTCAAAATAAAATATTGCCATCCCTTTCATTCGCTTTGGATAAACAGAGATGACAATATTTATTTTACAAATGTTTCGGCAGTACACGGATATATTAGTTTTATACGAAGGCAGACAGTAGAAAGTGCTATCGTTGGAATGCATTCACAAAACTTGCACTGTCCTGTCCTCGTGTGAAACTTACATTTGTTAGTGCCACCACTCCTTGTTGACAATTGAATGTGTGTAACAAAATGTCAATTCTATTTGTAATGACCTAGTGCCTAAGTGTGAGTGGCAGATTGTAAATTATATTACAATGACGTGGTGTTTTCTTTCTGACTGATAGAGGACATTAGATAGTAGCCATACAAAATGACGAAGATATTGACATAAGGTGTAGCGTATGGGCATCACTATGCCTATACAATTATAACTCGTGAATATTTTTTATTTTTAATACATACCAAAGATGCCATGACGTTTAATGTAATTTATTTATTAATAGTTGTAATTGATCATTAATTAGTGACTACGAATGATTTTTTTTAATCGTAAATTTTACTGCCAATTCGTATAATTTGAAAAATGAACGCACATTTATTGGTTTTGTTCAATAATTTGATAAGTCGCTTTAGTATACGGCCAGAGTTATTGCGTCACTACCATCATTACAGATGTTGAAAAAAGTATTCCAGATTTTAATGTTATAGTAAGACCACCTTATCTGAGCCGTTAAGAGACGCTGATATTACAGTAAATTTTGTAAATTACACTAAAAAAAAAAAGAATAAAGTAGCTTGAGTTTCAAGGAACTTGTGGTACTTTTTGACATTGATAGGAGGGCGCTAGTGAGCTATCATAAGTGCTTTATGCCCATCGAAAACTATGTCGGTCTATTCTGATAAAATAAAAGTGACGAATGTTAAATTGGTGTACTATTTTCAAAGTCTGTGATGGCGTTGGTACAGAACACTTACAAACATACGTAAGAAGCTAGTTTATATATATGTAAATAGCGAGTTCTGTATAATTAATAATTCGAGTAATTACATATAAGCACTAGTGACTAAGCGCAAAGTTTTTTGAAGATGAATTGTTAAGAATTGTTTTTTGTATTAATTAAATTATAATACTGAAAGAAATGTACAATAACCATTTCTACGTTAAAATCAATGAACCATCTTTTTATACTCGTAAATTTAATTAAACATTGTAATGCCTAGACAGTTTCGTGTAAGCGTAAATTATTAATTTATAAAATATCGAGAATTATAATAGAAAGGTACGAACTGTAGTTTATATATAGGCAGCTTTATTTTATTTTGAAACTCGAAGCCTTAGTGTTAGAAATTGAAGACTTTTATTAAATATAAAAAAAGATAAAATTACAAAGATAGCATTTTATGAATAACTTTTATTAATGGCGTTAAATAGCGCTTTTAAAACGTTATTTACAAACTTTCCATCACTAAAATAATATGTATATATAGTTTTGAGTTTAATATCACTATAAACCATGTGGTTGAATTCCACCATTGTTAAAAACCGAAACTATTATTTTCTTTACTTATTGCTTTATGCATTCTAATGGTAATTCATTTAATAAAGCTTAAATAATATTAATTTAAGATAAATTAAAATAAATATTTGCTTATAGTCATCGTATCATTATTATTCGAAGGAAAAATAAGTTATAAGCATTTTGTGCAATATTTTTCTACTTCTACAAAATCTTTTAATTTTATTTAATGGATCATCAGTTTTTTTTTTCATTTTACACCAGATTTTTAGCGATTTTAATGGATGTTTAATAATGGTCATTAAAATGCAACGAATGCCCAAAAAATTCTTTTTATTAAATTATGTTGGAATAAAATAAACTCACAGTACAATTTTGGGCTAAGTCAATCAGAAGGCAGTTTTAAAGATCGATTATGATGACAGTAGAGTAAATTTCAAATAAAAGTGCCTAAGTACAGTAGTGGTTAAAAAACTTTCCGTCACCTAAAAAATACTAAATAAAACTTAATAAAGGAATGAATTTGAAAACTGACAGAATTTTTTATATCACGACTGTAATTTTACTTACGTATATAGTATGGCCATCTTACGGTTTATGCCAATTAATGTTTTTTATACATAAAACTAGATACAATGCAAATATATTATGGTCTAATTCTTTGGAATATAATATTAAAAGTAAATTATAATGAAGTATTCACTCAACAAGCTATCTTGTGTTATAAAAAAGATGGTATTTTCTTATCTTAACCGTTGGTTTTTACAAAAAAATAATTATCACTTTCGTTCTTTTTTTAAATCTGATTTAACAATCATTTTTACATTAAATTCTGCACTAAAAAACTAACGATTAAACAATTAATGCTCCTCTCAACTCCGAACACAAAAAATCATTAATCACAGTATAATTATAATGAATAATTGAAAAAATTTAATCATTGTTTAATGATAGGCTGTTTATTGGAATAATTTATGTACGGGTGCTTTATAAACTCTCATAATTTAATGGCGATATTGTCGAAAGATATTGTACAAAGAATTTTATACATTACGTCAATACATTTTCAATTGGATAGTTTATTGCGTCTATAAATTTATTTTTCATACCACATAAGTTACCTTCTCAAGATACTAACCTAATACTTAATATTTCGTTGATAAGACCGCATTGGTTTGCTTTTTAGACACTCCATAGGGTTAATTAGGAGTTTTATAAAATATTAATAAAGCAAATGCAGTGATAGAAATGTTACACCGTACTCGCTGCCCGTATTTATAGAGTGCAATTTTTTATAACTAGAAACAAATAGATTGTTGAACAGTTAAAGTGAAATATTTAACAGCATTAAATATTTCACTTTCAATTGTTTCAAATGTTATGATCATTTTCTCATTAAAATATTAATATATGCTAAAAATATTTTAGCAGAGGATAAAATGTATTCCTTTTCTTTAGTAAATAAAATATTGAAATTTGCTTCATGTGTTTTTATTACTGTGATTATTAAATTAGAGGATAAACTGAGGATTGGCAAACTGCAGTTGTACGGATTGACCAAGTATAACTCAAAATTCAAACCATGGAATCTCCTCTGTCATTTTTTATATTTCTCTGTTTCTTTCCATTTTGTAATAAATCAATTTCCATTTTAAGTTCCTCTCACAATGTTCCAAAATCTATGTGGGAGTAATGTTTTCTCTTAATAACTTCATTTTTTTCTGGTTCTTCGTTTATGTTCTTTGTGAATAATTTCTAATGTATCTGCTTTATTGCTTATAAAATCTAAGAACTGTTTTAAATTTGGAGAATTTGTTAATTTACACTGATTTTCCCACTCACGAAATGTGATACCATCTAACTTACGCACCATCAAATGAATCACTATAGTATCCCAATGGTTTGTTGGTTGTCCGAGAGCTTTTA